CCCCCCGCTTTTTTTTTTTTTTTTTTTTTTTTTTTTTTTTTTTTTTTGTTTTTTTTTTTTTTTTTTTTTTTTTTTTACAAGAGAGCATGTACAAAGCAAACAAGTATCTCCGACAGCATTACTGTCTTCAAGAACCTGAGTGAGTGGAACAATATTTGGGGCGGGTGGAAATCAGTAATGCATCAGAGACAAGAAAGCATTTCTAAGGCACCATTCAAGTTTGGGGGGCGGGAAATGGGGTGGAAAAAAGGAGTTCAGTGCCCCTCTAGTTACTTCCAACCCTGGCATAAAAACATTCCTTTTTGACTTAAAATAGAAAATCATTAATCTACTCTCATTTAGGATACTAGAGGCTATAACTAGACAGCTACTTAATTTGGTTTCATGGTTTCCAAAAAATCCATGAAAAACAGCATTGTCCACAATCCCCAAGAAATACTGCATTGGCAGCAGTTTCCCATGAAATCAACCTTAAAAAAAATACTCCAAAAACTAGGGTGCACCAATAGAGATTTTGGGGGCCAATACCGATAGTCGATTTTTAAGGAGTATTGGCCAATACCAATCCTATTTCCAATACAGCTGCATGCAGCTGGTAAGTCTGTTGTGGTGGAAAAGGAGTGGGGAGGGAAGGGTCGTGGGACAGCAGATCAACGTCCCCCACCGTAAAGGAGGGAGGGGGCAGGGGCACACACTGGCACTGCCCAGCCAGGGTGAGGGCCAGCACAGGACTGAGCCACGGCTCATCCACGCGCAGGGGGTTGGGCAACAGCTGGGGCTGCTCTGGGCTCTTCTCAGCGGGAGCTGGGCTTGGGGCGGGCAGCAGTGGTGCTGGGAGTGGGCTGTAGCCACCCCAAATTTCGTCGTAGCCTCCCCATAGCCCCCCTCCCAGCACCAGCACAGCCTCAGCTCTTCCTGGTGCTTGGGTGGAGGCAGGGCATTGAGCCAGGGCTGGGCTTGAGGCAGGCGGCGGCAGTGCTAGGAAGGGAGTATGGGGAGGCTACATCGAAATTTGGGGTGGCTGCAGCCCACTCTGTAGCCCCCCTCAGCGCTGCCACCCATCCTGAGCCCAGCCCCCACCAAGAAGAACCCAGCGCAGCCCCAGCTCCAGCCTATAGCTGCAGCCCGCCTACCCCATGCAGATCCAGGGGCACACGCCCCCTTCACCCCCGTGCCTCCCAGGAGTGCATGCAACAGTCAGAGTTGCCACCCTGCACCCCCCGAATTAGCTGCAGCCCCTGCCCCTCCCTCGAGTGGGGGGACTTGATCTACACCCCCCATGCCCCTTCCCTCCCCCCCCCCCTACCACATCAGACTTACCAGCTGCATGCAGCTTGCCAGGCTGTGGGCCTCACTACCTGCGTGCTGCACTGCAGCTGCACGCACAGGCATTTATCGGCCAAATTATCGGCCGCATTGGGCTGATTTCTGATACAGCCAATTTTCTTTATATCGGTACCGATCCAATATCGGACCGATGTATTGGTGCACCTCTAAGAAAAAACACGTAGTGTTCACACAATACACTATTTTAGAACGTCCCAGTGCTTACCAGAATAGAAACACAATGGGACAATCACTGAAGCCACAGATCATGTAATTGAGACTTACTGTCTGCTAGTGATATACACGAGCGTTCTCAACCTATGGGTCGGGACTCGGAAGTGGGTCACAAAAACATATGAAAGGGTCACGAATAACCTTTAAAAATGGATTCTTCTTTAAAGAAGAAAAATGTGGGAAACCCTGGCTTTTCCCTTGCAGGCTTGCAGAACCCCAGCCTGCAAGGGGCTGCTTGGGCCCCCCCCACCAGCCCTACACACCCCCCTTATGTCCCACGCACTCACCCTCAGCCCCACACACTGTGGGGCTGGGGCCTTAGGGCAGGGGGCAGCAGGTTGGGAGTGAGGGGTACTGGGTCAGGGCTGGCCATCGATGTTTACAAATGGGTCCTGGTACAAAAGAGGTTGAGAACCACTGATGTAGAATAAGTGACAATGACAGTAAGAGAAGTGAAAATGTTTCTACTGAGGTTAGCACTAAATAGTAATTCTAAACTTGTTGTAGAATGCTACATATAATAAATTATGATGGTATAAGTTACAATTCATATCACATATACATTTATTAATAATATATTTAAATTTAAATGTAATATTTAGAGTTATATGATTAAATTATATAATTTACTTTCCGCGGAATTTGCTATTATATTTATACGATCTATGCCTCTCCACCAATCAGTGGTGAAGGGCAGGGCCACCAGGAAATGCCCACAAAAGTCAGCTCTTTAGTCAGTGATCAAGCTGCAAAAAATTGTTTTGTCTTGCTGCAAATTAAGTAAACCCTTAGCTATAACTCCTTTCAAAAAATTGCTTTTTTAAATTAAAATTGTAAAATCATTATTTGTTAAAAACAGACACAACCACCAACTATTTGTCTGCAAAAAACAGATTATTTTTCTAGAGCTAAACGTCAATAAAAGGTAGAAAATCTTTTATAGGCATTTGGCATACTGCCACTATTTAACATGCTAATCATATTTCACTGCTTACTTGAGCTCCTTCCTCACTCACAATCTCTCTTGCTTATAAAGCCCTGTTTCACTCCCATAGACCCCAACTCCCCAAGCCCCAACTCCCA